TTAACATGGATTTTTGAGAATTTTAAAGATTTTTAGGAATTTTAGAATTTGTTTTTCTAAGAATACCAGCGATTTTCTTGGTATTTTAGAGTTTTTTTTTAAGAATTTTAGCGGTTTTCTATGAATTTTTTAAGAATTTTATGGGCAGTTAGAAGTGAATTTCTTAAGAATTTTAGAAGTATTTAAAAGTGAATTTTTTTTTAAGAATTTTAGAGATTTTCTAAGAATTTAAGAGGCATTTTAAAGAAGATTTTTACAGAATTTTAGAAATTTGTTTGAAAATTGTAGAGGCATTTAAAGGTGGCACTTAAACTACAGAATTTTTTAAGAATTTTAGAGGCAGTTAGAAGTGAATTTCTTAAGAATTTTAGAAGTATTTAAAGGTGAATTTTTTAAAGAATTTGAAAGATTTTCTAATAACTTTAGAGACTTTTAACCGTGGATTTTTTTTAAAGAATTTTAGAGATTTTCTAATAATTTTAGAGACATTTAAAATTGGATTTTTTTAAAAGAATTTAAAAAAGGCATTCAAACGTGGATTTTTGAAGAACTTTAGAGGCATTTAAAAGTCGATTTTTACAAAATTTTAAGGGCATTTTACGTGGATTTTTGAAGAACTTTAAAGGCATTTAAAAGTCGAATTTTACAGAATTTGGGGGCATTTTAAGAGGAGTTTTGAAGAATTTTAGGGGCATTTAACGTGTATTTTTGAGAATTTTAGAGATTTTTTAGGAATTTTAGAGGCATTCAAACGGTGTTATTCTAAAAATACTAGCGATTTTCTAGGAATTTTAGAGAATTTTTTTAAGAATTTTAGCGATTTTCTAGGAATTTTTTATGAATTTTATAGGTAGTTAGAAGTGAATATCTTAAGAATTTTAGAAGTATTTAAATGTGGATTTTTTTAACAATATTAGAGACATTTTAAAGAAGATTTTTACAGAATTTTAGAAATTTGTTTGAATATTGTAGAGGCTTCTAAAGGTGGCACTTAAACTACAGAGAGTATATATCATTTGACTAAACTCCCAACCATATGGCTACAGAGTGTATATATCATTTGTTATGACCAAAACGTGCCTCATCGAAACAATGGATTTAGACCCCAGGTCTCTTTGGACAAAATTCGTTTCAGGACATTTTTAGTTAACCAAAGATCCGATCTTCTGTCTGTCTACCTAGAGGACACGATAACTATTGAAGAAATTGTCCGATGTGGTCCAAACTAGGTACAACGTAATATTACTATCAAACTTAGAGGGAGTACGGAGATGGGCAATAACGGTCCACTCCTCTCCACCAAAGGCCAAGATATTTAAAGAAGATATTTTACCTCATAGAAAGAGAAATAAATATTTACATCAGTGCAAGGTCAGGTATGAAAATGGAGAATATCGGTTCACTCCATGCAGTACCTCCCACACAAATGACAAAATTTAGAATAATTATAATTGTTATAATTTATCAAATAAGAGTTCCGTTGCCTTCAAATTTTAGCACATTTCAATATTTTTTACCAACACAAGATCTGGCATGCAGAACGGATAGAGCAGACAACTACTTTAGCTACCTTTCCCACAATGCGTCAACATTTTGAATAGCCATGATGCTCATAAAACGCAAAAAGAACATCCGATTTATTTCAAACTCGCCACATTTCTATCAACACAAGATTTGGTGTGAAGATGGAATATATCGGACCACTTCTTCTGGTACCTCTCTCAAAAAGGGGTTAAAATTCTGAATAAACAAAACAATCATAAAAAAACGATTATCTTCAAATTTCACAAGATCTGCTATTAAGATGATAGATATCGGCCCACGCCGACTAGTACCTCCCCCACAAAGAGTAGTGAAATGAATGACTGTAGCTAAAAACTTTATGGCTGTAGCTAAAAACTTGAAATTTTGCGCGAGGGTAAGTCTTGGTACGTTGTCACACGCTTACCGGGCTTTTCGGTGTGTTTTTGGAAATTCATACTAATATGGTACGAAAATTACTAAAAATGTAATACTTTATGTTGGACCAATGGAATGAGCAAGAACTCTGAAATTCAGAATGAGAGTCGCTGATGCAGTGCAGGATAGATGTACCAAAGAGTTTTTGAAAAATTCTAAAGTGGTACCAAACTTCTAAAATGGTACAATTTGGTATTACATGAACGGATAGAGCTAAAAACTTTGGTATGCGAATCAGGGTTCGAAACTAAGTTTGATATATATGAGGTGGTTTTGGAAATGCGCACGGAAGTGCACGAAAAGTACAAGTGCACGAAAAGTACTAAATATAACTATTTTTTATACCCTACAACACTATGTGTTGAGGGTATTATAAGTTTGATTAGGCCAGAATTTATGTAACACCTCGAAATTTTGGTTTCCCACATAGGAAAGTATATATGGATCTTCCTAGCTCGACGAGCTGAGTTGATCTAGGTATGTATGTCCGTCCGTCCGTCTCTCCGTCTGTCCATGTTAATTTGTAATCACGCTACAGGTCGCTAACGAAATTTTTCACGAAGGTGGGGTTAGGGTCAGAATAGAAGCCTATTTCTTTTGGAGATGATCGCCAAATTTTTAGGGGTTAAAATGGACCAAATACTGAAAAAATTTCGGATTTTGCAGTAGCTATACAGGTCGCAAATATAGACCAATCGCGGAATTTCGCATGTAGCTAGAGTTTAGAGCGGGGAAGAACCCTACCAATTTGGGTGGTCATCGGATAATATTTTGCAGGTAAAATAGACCATATCTTTTGTGTTGAAAAAATTCAAAATTTTTCATTAAACCGTGAATATTTTAAATCCCGGCGAAATCACAAAACCATGACAAGGTTACTTCTGATCTTTAAATTGATGTTAACATCCAAAAAATCGGATATATAGCAAAATATGTGAGATATATATGTCTATCAAAGAAGATATGCTTGAAAGATCTCTTATATGTCGAGAACGGCTGAACTGATTTCGACAGTTCTCATTAATTCAGAATGGAAAGAAGAAACGTCTAAAAAAATCGCATAAAAATATCTCTCTAACGATGAAAATATTGATTTTGTAACATTTTCTCATATTTTTACAATTTTGTAATATTTTTGGCATATTTTCATTTTGAATTAAACATTTGGTAATATTTCTACAGCTAACAAAACTAAGTAGTTAGGATATCAGGATATCATATACAGATCGCATTTATGGCCCGATACTTACGAAATTTTGCATGGGGATAAGATGAGGGTCAGAATAGATGCCAACTCTTTTTGGAGATGATCGCCATATATTTAGGGGTTGAAATGGACCAAAAAACTGCAAAATTGTCAGCAGGTCGTAATTATCGCCCGATCCTCACGCACATTTGAATGGGGGTTACCGGACATTGCAAAAGCCAAGCAGTTTTGGATGGCCATCGAAAAATATTCAATGTGTGAAATAGTTTGCCAACTTTTGTAGACAAAATACGAAAATGTCCATTCCAGTGACTTTTTGGGGAATTCACAAATACAGGAAAGACGCACTTCTGACTATTTCGTTAACGCTGATTTCGTTGAAGAATATAGTCAAATATCTGTATCTCATATAGATGCGTTTTAGTCAAAAACCAATCATAAATGTTAATCTTTTGCCACTTCTGAGAGTTTATGGGTCTTTGGAAAATATTGGTTCCAGATCTATGAAGACCATTTACGTGCAACATCTACCAATAAATTGTGAAATGAGCAAATTAGTTTAAGTTGCTATTTTTCGAAAATTAGAGAACGAAACCTGATGGTTTTCTTTTATTATTTGTCACAATATCTTGTGCAATTCTTTCGAGTGTCTCGCCTATATAAACTGTATCGTTTATTATAGTGTTGTAGGGTATTCAACGGTCGGCACCGCTCGACTGTAGCCTTTGCTTATTTGTTTTGGTATAGTTTTGTATTGGGTGGACAGATAGCGATTGAAATCTGAAACGTTATATTAAGTTCGCCATTCATGTGTAGAATGGACACTTGGAAGTGGTTTCAACAATGTGTACTATAATTGTACGTAAAGTACTAAGAAGTACCCAATTTGGTATTGGAAGAAGGGGCAGAGAAAAAAAGTTTTGTGTATGAGACGGTGGTATGAAAATACGGCCAATATTTGTACGATAAGTACTAAATAGTACAACATTTGGTATTGGGTGAATGGATAAGGCTGGAATCCTCAAATTTGATATGGATGTCACTGTTAGTGTCTGTGGTTAGGTTATGGTTATATTTTTGGAAAAGTTTACTATAATTGTTTAGAAAGTACTATGTGGTACTAAATTTGGTATTGGGTGAAGGGATAGAGATAAAATTCTGAAATTTAATATTTGGATCACAGACGGTATCTGTATTTTAGAATAGGCGCTGGTTTGAAGATACGTCCTATATTTGTACGAAAAGTAATTAATCGTACTAAATTTTGTATTGAGCGAAGGGATAGGACTGAAATCTTCAAATGTTATATTAAGGTCTCTGTTTGTATCCCTAATTGAGATATGAATGTGATTTTGAAAATGTGTACTACAATTATACGAAAAGTACTAATTCGGACTAAATGTTGGCATTGGGTGAAGGAATAGTGCTGAAATCCTGAATTTTTTTGTGTATGTCACTGTTTGTGGTGTTGTTAGTATATGGTGGTGATTTCGGAAATGTGTACTATAATTGTACGGAAAGTATTAAATGGTATTAAATTTGGCATTAGGTGAAAGGAATGGGGCTGGAATGCTCAAATTTGAAATTGAGCTCTCTCTTTGTACCTGGAATTGAGATATGGAGATGGTTTTTAAATGTTACTATAATTGTGGTTTTTTTTGTTAAATTTTAAAAATATTTTTTTTAATTTATTATTAAATGTTCCGGATCTGTATTTTTACTGGATCGACAAACTAAAGTTCTGCTACTTCTATTTATTTATTTAAATTAGTATAAATTCATTTTCCGCACTTTATTAATTGCCCGTTTGTTTTTTATGTTCCTCTTATTCCAGATACATTTATGTGTGTCACGCTCCCATGGCCCGGACATGGTGTACAATGCCGCGCGTGAAACGCTGCACCATTTACATAACATTAGCTGCCTTTCTACATCAAAGTACGCGAATATTTGATCGCAGCTATCAGGCGCTGACAATTGAGTGGAACGGCCAAATGGTGGAGGTGTGTCATGTCGACAATGCCCGTTGGGTGCAAGAGTTTGTGGGTGAAGATCTCTATTACACATTCTTCTTTCTCTTTCGGGTGCTGTTCGTCCATTTGTTGCCCTGTATAATACTAGTCACCCTCAACATCCTACTATTTCGGGCAATGCGCAAAGCCCAGGAGCGAAGAAAATTACTGATAAGTGAAAATCGCAAAAAGGAGTGTAAGAAACTGCGCGAAAGCAACTGTACCACCCTAATGTTAATTGTCGTCGTCACTGTGTTCCTAATCGTCGAAATCCCCATAGCTGTGGTCACAGCCATGCACATTGTTTCGTCGCTGACAAATAATTTTCTGGACTATGAGATAGCCAATATTTTTATTACTTTCACCAATTTCTTTTTGGTTGTAAGCTATCCGATTAATTTCGGCATTTATTGCGGCATGTCGAGGCAATTTCGTGAAACATTCAAGGAGATTTTCCTGGGGCGTATGGTGGAGCCGCATTCGCGCTACTCCATTGTCAATGGACCACGCACCTGCACCAATACCAATGAAACGGTCATCTAGTAAAGGTTTTTGTTAATGCCGTTTCGCAAAAGTTGGCAACGACGGAGACGGCATTCCAGCTACTGTAGCAGTATTACGGAAATTGCAGTGGGTGCGGGGGGTAATGGTGGGGGTGGTAGTGGTGTAGGTCATGGCGCTGGCAAATATGCCAGCACCAGTTTAAGTGGTCGCAGCGGAAATACAACAATTACCACCAGTGGCGGAAGTGTATCGTATGCTGTTAGTCGCAGCAGTGTGGGCAGCATTGATGTCCTGGGTGCAACAAATGCGGCAGGAGTTGGTGGGGCTGTTCCCACAACTGCATCCAGACGTTGCAGCGAACAACCACAACATTTTGTTGTGATGGATATTATCAACGAGGATAAAGTCGAAGTTTAATAAACACGTTTCCCCCCAAGACTCGAAGATGGCGCCCAACGTAAGTGCTGTACATTTTAGATTTAAATATTTTATAATTAAAAACTGTAACTGTATGTATAAGTAAGTAAGTATAAGTATTTGTTTGTTATTAGAAAACACAATGTAGATTTTTATATATAACAATTGTAATTGTTTGAATACTATTCGACAATGTGTACAATACAGAAAAAAATACGAATTTAATAATTTTTGTAATAATTTTAGAAAAAATAATTTAATATTTCTTTTAAGTCGAGATATTTTCAAATCACTTGAAAAATAAGTGAGAATATATGTGTTACTATTTTAGTTTTATCCCCGATTCATATGAATATCTGAAAGGGTTTCTGGGTGTCCTCTTGTGTAATAAAATATGAGTGGAAATCATAAAAAACTACAGTTTTTGGATATTGAAAATAAAGGTAATTCGTAGGGAAAATTGGATTGGATATCGCTAAAGTCGGATCCTAAAACCTACTAATGCAGCTTAGCATTTCGTGCAACAGTTTTTTTAAGGGAGAGAATAAAAATTTGGAATTTGGAAACATAATATCAAGCAAATGCCTACCATAAATCGAATAGAAATATTTTTTTTAGTCTTTACAATCCGAGAAAAACTTATAAAGGCCATAAAATGTAGAATTCGAGAAAATCCTCCGGTTTTTGTGGTCTTCAATCCTACCTCCCGCAATCTAGGCTCGCAACTTCCGCTGAAATCATGCAAGTGCTGTTGTCAAAAGGAGATTGTCCTGAATAATTCACACCACTCTAGATCTAAATATTTTTCGGTTATGATATGGAGGATACAATGCAAATGAGCTATATTGGTTGACGGTATAGCCCCCATATAACGGTACTTCCAGATTTTCGGTACTTTGAAGGTTTTTGCCACAATTTCCAACTAAATAAGCGAAACTCGCCATTTGGGATTCTTGGTAGGTCTGTTGTTTCTCTGCGAAAAATATTCGATTAACGTCAAATAGTGAAGAGTATTGAATGTTCGCCCAACCGTTGTTTGTTTTTTTTTTACATCTTTTTAAATTCCAATATTTAAAACTTGCAAGAGATAACAACCTCTGTGGCAAGAAAACGGTACCATTGACATTACGGTATTGTGAAGACGTTTAACCAGCCGATATCGCTGACAAGAATGTAAGTGGAACCTTTACTTTTATTTTTAGGGATTTTTCTCTTTTTCCAAGTTTGATCCAATCGAATTTAATGCATTCTTACTTGTTGTACAACCCTAAATACCAAAAACAGACATCTGCTCTTTCCAGGCCAGTACTACAAAATTTAGTATCCTGTTTCTAACTTTCGTGCCCATTGAGTACGAAATTTTTTTCGTGAACGATTTCATTTATTGCATCGAAACCTAGATAAAAAAATTCTTAAACTTCGCAATCGTTTTACACCAATAATACAATATAGAGTACTTTCTTGTTATCTCACACCTACACACCAACATTGACATACATGCAAAATTTCACGACTCTAGCTTCTGTCCTTTCGGCTGGAAGTTGATGAATCAGACAGTCACTCACTCATTCTATTCTAGCAAAGGCCCGCCACTTCGTCAGCGAAAAGTCCAGCATAAAATTTTAGATTCGTTCTAACAGTTCGTGTTAGGCTTTTTATACTCAAAATGCACAATTCGGTTAGTTTGTCAATTTTTTTTAAACCAGAACTTCAAACATCATACTAAATTTTACAATTTTCAAGGTTTTATGTATTATTCAATTTATTACCTTTTCGGAAGGAATTGAAGAAAATTGTTTACATTTTAAACCAAAAAGTTTTTAAAATCTTTTATTTTGAAAATTGTTCATTAAATTCTACATGCCAACAGAGACATCAATATCGATGCAATTATCCAACACCACCATATCTCAATTCCAAATACCAACAGAGACCTCGATTTCAAATTTAAGGATTTCAGCTTTATTCCTTCACCCAATACATAATTTAGTACTATTCGTACAATTTCAAACTCCCAGCTTCATCCGTGTACCCCAACACCAAACTGTCTTAAATGTAGTAGCGTTTAATACTGTTCGCACACGTAGTACACATTTCCAAAACGACCTTTATGTATCAAACTTATTTTTCAACTTTGACTCTCATACCATAATAATAAATTGAACTATTTTAGAACTTTTAATTACCTTAAAGTTCGAATTTCCAAAAACTCTTTGGTACATCTATCCTATACTCCATCAATGACTCTCCATCCAAATTTTAGAATTGTAGCTCATTCCGTTTTTTTTTCGAGGGAGGTACAGGAGTAAGTGTACCGATAATGCTCATTTACAAACCTGATCCAAGTATTCTCTAAATTTTGCGATGTGTCATAATTGAAACATATTGGGTACTCCCTTCGCTCAATATGAGGTTTTCTTTTTTTATATCATTTGATACGGCCAAAACGTGCCTCTTCCAAATAACGGTTTTAGACCCTAAATATCTTGGGACCAAATCCGTTTTAGGACGAAGGGACATCGCCAGGTCGACTCTAAGTACCTGGCGATGTCCCTTCGTCCGTTTGGCTGGTGCACATGATGGGAGTATCCGATTTGGTCCAAACTTGGAACATAGTAATATTACTATCAAACTTAGATCGAGTTCGGAGATGGGCAATATCGCCCCACTCAAGGTCAAGATTTTCCAAGAAATATTTTACTGCACAGAAAGAAAAAGGATAATCAAATGTTGCTCCAACTTTGCCAATCCTAATATTTGCATTATTGCTAGGTCAGGTATGAAAATGGATAATATCGGCCTACTCCATCAAGTGCGTCTCCCACAAAGGCTCAAAATTTTGAATATCCATGAAGCTCATATAACGCGATATTGACATCCGATTCCATACAGATTTGGCACGCCTCAATAATTCTGTCAACGATAGATCTGTTAAAAAGATGGTAGATATCGGACCATTCCTTCTGGTACCTCCCCCACATCGGGTTCAGGATTAAAAAAAAAAAAAACATTAAGTTCGGCCGAACTTTTAATAACTTTCACCTTTGGGTAAAGGAAACGTAACAACCCATTATGACTAACAAATACCAATTTATAGACACATTTATAGGAAAAAGTGGCAAAAATCATCAAATTATCGAATATCAGGAGGTACCGCTATACATACAATGTTTCGCCAACGGAGCAAGAACCCATTAGAACACACAAATACCAATTTTTGGACAAATTCGCGAAGAAATGTGTGCAAAAATTATCAAAATACCGAATATCTGGAGGTACCATTATATGGGAGCTATACCAAAACGTGGACCTATATATACAATATTTCGCCACCACATCCAGAACCCATTATGAAAAAATGTGACAAAAACCATCAAAATACCGAATATCAGGAGGTACCATTATATGGAGGCTATACCAAATCATGGAATTATACATGCTAGAACCTATTATGACCTACAAATACCAAATTTCAAACAAATCCGTGAAAAAATGTGGCAAAAATCATAAAAAAACCGAATATCAGGAGGTACCGTTATATGGGGACTATACCAAAACGTAGACGGATATATCTCATTTTCAATACTAACCATTTTAGACCCAATACAAATTGTTCTTGTTTTTTTATGAGTCATAACTTGCGAAACAAGTCTGCGATTCTTTACAGCTTGCTATATCTAAATATTTCTCTCAGCCAGAAACTTGAGAGATTTAAGATTTGGCATAAGATTGGATATAAATGTTCAATTTTCTTATAATTTTGTCCATACCATTATTTTTATTTGCATTAGATGAAGTATGAAAATGGAGTACTTCGGTTGAATATATCGGTACCTCACGCACATTTGAAAATTTTCTAAGAATTATCTCATATCTCACATAAAGTGAAGGAAGTACCCAATATAGTCGAAACCTGGTGCATCGCAATATTTTTATCATATTTATTTTGGTCCGATACGAAATGGAAAATATTGGCCCATTCATAACAGAAGTCAAAATATATTTAAATAATCGAACATTGGCTGAGGTTATATATCTGCCAGCAAAACCGACTGATACATTTTAACTTGTTCTTTTTATACCCTACACCACATAGTGGTAAGGGTATTAAGTCTTTGTGCATTGTTTGTAACATGGAGAAGGAAACGAGATAGAGATTCCTTTTGGTGATCTGCATAGAATCACATTCTGAGTCGATTTATGCATGTCCGTCCGTCTGTCCATGTATTTTTATAAACAAAATCCACGTCGCATTTATTATTCGATTGAGATGAAATTTTGAACAAGTCATTTGTTTGGCCCAAGAACGAACCCTATTGAAATTGGAGATAATCGGTCAAAATTTAGATATAGCTCCCATATATATATATTCGTCCGATTTGCCTCTAATTGTGCACCAAAGGTGTAATATCAGCACAAATAGTATTGAATTTTGCACATACAATCAAATTAGGCCTGAAAAAAAGTGTGCCAAATTTAATAAAAATCAGTTCAGATATAGCTATAGCTCCCATATATAATGTTCAACCGACTTTTTATTTTTGTCCTTCGCAGCCGTAATATACACTCTGGAACAACAATATTTGGGGAAATATATCAAATGCAGCTCAGAAATACCTTTG